AAACAAAATAAACCAAATCAAATCAGATCAAATTAAAGCGGATTAAATCAAATTAAATCAAATCAAACAGAGTAAATGAAATGAAATGAAATTAAATTAAATTAAATAATAAAACATAATAAATAAATAAAGTAAAATAAAATAAATGAAATAAATAAAATGAATAAAACAATATAAATAAAATAATAAGATTTACATTTCCATATTTGTCCATTTTATTTCTTCTTTTTCTTTCTTTCAAATCTTTTGGCCTTTCTGCGAAATCCTCGAAGACCCACTCGGCCTCTCGCCATCTGCGGGAAATGAAATCAAAATAAACAAATAAATAAATAAATAAATAAATAATAAATAAATAAATAAATAAATAATAAGTAAATAAATAAATGAATTGAATGGAAGCTGGAGTTGGAAGAAAGCTGAAAAGAAGAATTGAAACGCGCGGTGCAACAGAAGTCTTTTTTTTTTTCGTTTTTTGAATTTTTTTGAAATAAATGAATTTAAAAAACAATTCAATTCATTTATTTCATTAAATGGTTTCAAATTGCATTATTTTGGCCGAGAATCCTTGAAATTCATATTCTGTTCAAAATTCAACTTTTTGCAAATGCATGTACTTTTTTGCTTTTTCTCCGTTTTTTTAGCCCTTTTTCGAGGTTTTATTCTTCTTTTTATTTTTCTAATTCAAAAAGACTTTCTAATCCTCCAAAATGGTGTTTTAAAAAGCGTTTTCGACTTTTCTCACAAATTCGAATCCGAAACTTCATACACGCTGTCAGTCGAGATGTACACGTACACCCCAAAACCCTCGCCCAAACCCTCCAGCGAGGCCTGCGACACAAACCCTAAACCCTAAACCCTAAACCCTAAACCTTGAAACATAAACCCTAAACCCTAAACACTCACCTCTATCTGGTGAGGCTTGTAGCCAGAAAAATCCACTACTCCAACCCATGGCTGCACAAACACACAAACCCTAAACCCTAAACCCGAAACCCTAAACCCTAAACCCTTGATCTACAGCCGCAGTATTTCATGCCCCGAGTCGCTGCGCCAGCTGAGAAGCCACAAAAGCCTTAAACCCTAGACCCTAAACCCTCAGCCAGAACCTACACCCTAAACCCTCAACCAAACCCTAAACCCTAGCCTTCAACCAAACCCTAAACCCTAAACCCTAAACCATAAACCCTAGCCCTGGAGTGTCGAGCGCAGACCCTGACACCTCACAACTCCACATTCCCAACCCCTAACCCCAAACCCCAAACCCTAAACCCTAACCTGGCTGCCAGTGGCCCTTCGAATTGCCTCGGCAAAAGCCTCAGTTTTATTTCGGTCACTTTTTATTTGCGTAACTCCTGGCTCCTCCCCTGAGCCACTCAAACAAACTCACAAGCTAGCTAGCTAGCTAGCTAGCTAGCTAGCTAGCTAGCTAGCTGGCTAGCTAGCTAGCTAGCTAGCTAGCTAGCTAGCTAGCTAGCTGGCTAGCTAGCTAGCTAGCTAGCTGGCTGGCTAGCTAGCTAGCTATCCCTCACCAGGCAGCTAGCTAAGTGGTTTGCTTGTTGGCTAGCTGGCAAAGAAAGAAGCTGCTTATCTAGCCAGTGGCCCATCTAGCTAGCTAGCTAGCTAGCTAGCTAGCTCCACACACTCAGGACCAGCTAGCTAGCTAACTAGCTGGCTAGCTAAGTGGCTAGCTAGCCAACTAGCTAGTTAGCCATCTAGCTAGCTAGCCAGCCAGGAGGCACGCCAGCTAGCCAGATAGCCAACTAGCTAGCTAGCTAGCTATAGCTAGCTGGCCCGCTAGAAAAGTGGCTAGCTAGCTAGCTAGCTGGCTAGCTACCCACTCTCCCAGCTAGCTAGCCACACACCTAGCTAGCTAAGAGCCTAGCTAGCCAACCAGCCCCCCATCTACAACTAATTAATTAATTAATTAATTAATTAACTATTTATTTATTTATTTATTTATTTATTTATTTATTTATTTATTTACAAAGTCTGAGGCCCCAGTCGTCGCTGCCTCTGTTGACGAGGGTCACTTCGAAGCCTTTCTTTAAAAGAGCCCCTAAAGCAAATAAATAAATAAATGAATAAATAACAATTAATAAATAATAATAAATAAATAAATAATAATAATAAATAAATAAATAACAAAAATAAATAAATAAACAAATAATAAATGATGAGGGCTGGAAGGCAGAAGGTGCTCGGGTGTATCGACGTGAGCTTCACGCTGCTGCTGCTGCTGCTGTTGTTGCTGCTGTTGCTGCTGCTGTTCCTGTTGCTGCTGCTGCCGTTGCTGCTGCTGCTGTTGTGCTGTTGCTGGTTCTGCTGCCGCTGCAGTTGCTCGTCATGCTGCAGTTGCTGCTGTTGCTGCTGTAGCAGCTGCTGTTATTGCTGTGGCAGTTGCTGTTGTCGTTGCTGCTGCTTTTGCTGTTGTTGCTGTTGTTGCTGCTGCTGCTGTCGTTGTTGCTGCTGTTGTTGCTGCTGCAGCAGCCGTTGCTGCTGCTGCTATTTTTGATGCTCCTGCTGCTTTGTAGTGCCGCTGCTCTCGGTGTTCCTGCTGAAGTTGCTGCCGTTGTTGCTGCTGCAGCAGCTGTTGTTGTTGCTGCAGCTGCTGCTGTTGCTGTTGCTGCTGCTGCTATTGCTGCCGCTACTGTTCCTGCTTCTGCTGTCGTACCTGCTGCAGATTCCGCTGCTGCTGCTGCTGCTTTGCTGCAAGCTTCGCCGTTGTTGCTATTTTGCTTCACGCAGCAGCAGCAGCAGAAGCAGCAGCAGCAGCTGCTGCTGCTG